GTGCAATTGCTGGGTCATATGGCAGTTGTACACTTATACTAGAAGTCCGGTGCACAAAATTCGTGCATGGGTAGGGTCCCTAGGCCTGGCTGGCAATCAGGGCCGATCTGTGGGGTGACCGGTGGGGCAATCAGGGGGCCCCCGCTGCCACCCACCTTGGCTGGCCTGGGGACTGTGGGCTGGGGGCAGCCCCCTGCATTGAGCATCTGCCTCCTGGTGGTCAGTGCATGTCATAGCAACCAGTCGTTCCACCGTTCAGTCAATTTGCATATTAGGATTTTATTATATAGGATTTTTAAGAAATTGGCAAAATATTTTCATAGTGACTGCACCATTTTAAATTCTCACCAGCAATTTTTGAGAAATTCAGTTTCTCAAAGTTCATGTCAGAATTTTGCATATATGTTTAAAATTATTATTGTTTTTAAGCTTTAGCTATATTGCAATAACTAAATATGTCATGATATCTCATCATGCTCTTAATTTCCATTTACTTCCCTAATCGCTAGAGATGTTGAATATATTTCCATCTGCTTATTTTTTATCTATATAGTCTCTTTAGTGAAATGACTAATTCACATCATTTGCCCATTTTCTAATTGGATTTTTAAAAGTTTAAGATCTTTATAGGTTATAAATACAAGTGTTTTCACAAATGTGTGACTTGCAAATATTTTCTCTATGTCTATAGCTTGTATTTTGATCCTTAAACATGATCTTTTGAATAAGAAGTGAAATATAGAGTGCTCATTTGCATGGTAGGCGAACTAGTGAGTGCGTATATGTACTTTTTTAAAAAAATGTATTTTATTAATTTTTTACAGAGAGAAAGGGAGAGAGATAGAGAGTCAGAAACATCAATCAGCTGCCTCCTGCACATCTCCCACTGGGGATGTGCCCGCAACCAAGGTACATGCCCCTGACTGGAATTGAACCTGGGACCCTTCAGTCCACTGGCCGACGCTCTATCCACTGAGCCAAACCGGTTTCGGCAACATATGTACTTTTAATGTCAGGAACTCAGTAACCAATTTCTTTCCTTAAATGTGAAATTAAATCCTGACTAAGAATCTAAGTCTTGTTTGAATCAATTATGTGTGAAATTCTAAGTATAGGTGTCATTATCTCTGGTTTTCCCATTCTTAAACAATCTGAAAATGGCCTACTTATTATTATAAAAAATGCATTAAGCAAACTGAAGGAGAAGGTCCATTTGATAGAGTATCATTCTCATTTGTTTTTGTTTCCTTAAGTAGGTACCAGGTTATTTCTTTACTTTTGAAAGAGTCTCATACAGTCATCACTCAAATATTTATTTAATTAGTGTCTAGTAGTATAAAGTTGTTTTTTTTAAACAACTATTATACTAACTATTCCACTCTTTAATTTACTTGCTGTAGCACGTACTGTGGATAGACAGATGAGGTGTAAAATTGCTATTGTGGATCTCATGTTTGCTCTAACAGAATGGTACCGTTGTATGGTGTACTGTATCCTCCTTACAGTGTACTTTGTGTGTATGCTAAGGTGTGCTAAGTGTTCTTTGTATGACACACAAAATACCCATCATCTGGCATGTTAGGTAACCACTGAATAGTGTGCTAAGTGTCCAGACTCTACTGTGGTGCGCCACTATGCAGCATGCAAAATACCTAGTCTATGGTGTCCTAAGTTCTCTGTATGCTGTGCTTAGCGCCCATTAGATGACATGCTAAGTATCAAACATAAACTATACAGGTGCTAAATTTATAAACAAAATACTAGCAAATCAAATACAACAATACATTACAAAGATGATGCATCACCATCCAGTGGGGTTTGTTTTTAGAGCCGCAAGTATGGTTCAACGTATGTAAATCGAACAATGTAATACACTAATCTATAATAATAAAAGCATAATATGCTAATTAGACCAGACAGCCAAACGACCTTCCAGACAAAGCCGGGGCTGTAAGGGGCAAGGCAGCCACCGCAGCTGCGAGGACTGAGCAGCCCTTGCACAAATTTCGTGCATCAGGTCTCTAGTTTAAAATAATAAAGAATGAAAATCTTATGATCACATCAATAGATGCAGAAAAAGAATTGGACAAAATACAACATGTATTTTTAATTAAAACAATTGGTGAAATGGGTATAGAAGGAAAGTATTCAAGGAAACAAAGGCTTTGTATGACCAGCTGTCAGCTAATATCATTTTCAATGATGAGAAGCTACAAGCTTTTCCTCTACAATGAGGAACGGGATGAGGGTGTCCGCTCTCACCACCGGTATGCAACATAGTGCTGGAAGCCCTGGCCAGAGCAGTCAGGCAAGAGAATACTATGCTAAGACAAATAAGTCAGACAGAAAAAGTCACTCAGTATTACTTCACTCATCTGTGGGATAGAAAACTGAATGCAACAAATGCTTCTTTGTCTGTTGTAAACTTTTTTGACTTAAAGTGTATATTTTTTCTGATAATAGTATAATTTTTTCACCCCTTTACTTTCTAGCTCTTTGTGTCTTTTGATCTTATATTAGTCTCTTGTAGGTAGCACAGAGCTGAATTAGACATTTTAAGTTTTTCTGCCAATCTCTGTCTTCTTATTGAAGAGTTCGATCCACTTGCATTTAAAGTAAATACTGTGAAAAGACTTATTTTCATAATTTTCTGTTCCTTTTCTATATTTGGGTGGGCAAAAGTAGGTTTATAGTTTATTCTTATATTATTATTTCTTAATTATTGTATTATTTTCCAAAAGAACAATTGTAACTCTACTTTTTCCCCACTCATTTATACCTTGTAGGATTTTTTTTTGTCCCTCATTTCTTACATTACTTTCTGCTTTTGTGTTTAGTTTATATTCTGTAGTGAAACATTTAAATGTTTTTTCTTCATAGAATTTATGTGTATTCTCTAGCTGTTTTATTTGTGATTAGCATGGCGGTCACATTTAACAATGTATATTTATGACACTCTAATTTGAATTTATACTAACTTAAGTAACAAACAAAAAATCTGCTTCTTTATACCTCTGCCTCTTCTACTTTTGGTTATTGATATCACAGAATTACATCTTTGCATATATAATGCCCCAAGACATAAACTAATAATTATTTTAAATGCATTAGCCTCTTAAATTAGGCAAAAAACAAAAATGTGGAGTTATAGACCAAACTCACAATAATACTAGCTTTTAAACAAATAATATTTAAAAATGTATTAGTCTCTTAAATAATGTAAACAACAAAAAATGGAATTATAAGCTGTAGTTGCAATGATACAAACTTTTGTAATTGCCCATGTATTTATCTGTCTTGAGAATTTTATTTTTGTATAACTTCAAGTTACTGTCTAACGTTCTTTCATTTTACTTTGCAGAACTCCTTTGATCATTTTGTTCTGGGCAAATCTAGGAGTAACAAACTCCCTTAACTTTTGCTTCCATCTGAATGCCTTAATTTTCCTATCACTTTATTGATACATAATTCTGAATTCCTTTTTTAAAAAATTTAAATTCTTTATTGTTTAAAGTATTACATAAGTCCCCCACCCACCCACCATGAATTCTGAATTCTTAAGCTTATCCATTAAAAACAACCTTAATCACATGGAGGGGTCCCAAGGCCGCAATCGCAGTGCTGGCCAGGCTGTGTTCTCCTGCGGAGCTCGGGGTCTCTGTCTGGGTTCACTTAAGCCATTGGCGGAATCCGGTTGTTTGTGTTTGTAGCGCTGATTCCCCCATTTCATGTTGTATGCCAGCCACTGGTTGCTCTGATCTCCTAGCAGCGCTTTCTAAAGGACCTATGTGTGTGGCCATCTCCCAAGGAAGCAGCTTCTTCAAATCCAGCAGGACCACCTGTCTCAGTGGGAATCTCCTTCCCTTTGTAAGAGCTCCCACTTGACCATGTCTGACTACTCAAGAGAATCGCCCTCAAGTTGGTTTACCCAACATTAACTGATTGGGGGGGCGGGGGCGGGTGGTTACAGCTGCAAAATCCCTTCACCTTCGTCATTTAATGGGACCTTACCCTAGCCACAAGCTCAGCCCACAGTCATTGAAGGGGATAATACAGAGTGTCCGCCAGGGGTCAGGAATCTCAGAGCCATTCCTGGATTATTTTACCACCGCCCAGAAACTGGTGGTCTAGTTTAGGGTTCCCAACTTGGCTAAGGTTCACATTTCTCTGGGGAGCTTATTAAAAGGCCATACTGATGGGCCTCTGAATAAATCTGGATCAGAGTTGAGTTACACAGGCACCTCCCTCCTCTGCAGCAGCTGTGTACCTCTGGAAATTCGCTGGGTAACCACTCTTCTCTTAAATATGATCTCTCACTTGGTTATTATTTTATTACAGTATTAGAGTAGTTTCAAGACTGCAATTGAGTTTATAACACAGATTATAGAAATGTGATCATTTAATGTTAAGTGGCAAAGGCAGAAACATTACTCTAACCTTTGGAAATAGCAATGTGTTGCTCAAACCTTGATTTATAGAGGTCAACCTCTCTCCCGCAGCATAAAACTGAGTTAATAGCTATGTCTCATTAAAAATAGTAATCACTTTTTGGCATCAAACATGAGGTGATTCCTCACAAGGCAGGCTTTTAAATATTATTGATAATTTAAACTTGGCGTTATTCTAAAGGCTGAAGTATTGGCATTTTAGACCTGAATGCAACTACTGGCACATACAATTTTGGGCAAATTATCTAATATCCTTTTGTACTTTTTTTTTAAAAGCCAATTTTCCCAAACTGTGTTCTGCAGAAATTAGTTTTATGACATTAGCCATTTAGAGAATACTTATTATTATTATTTCATCCTCTTGATGATCCACAAGGTTTTGAGTTACTCCTAGAAATTGACAAGAAATGTGGTAAAATTGTATGTGATATAAGTGTAAATGGGATGCATGTCTCCTTATGGATGAAATGGCTGCATTTCAGTGTAATATAGATTGTATTGCATCTATTTGGAATGTTTGCAAAACTTTCTATTTTTGCTTTCTGTATCTAGACAATTCTCCAAAATGTTGTGATTGCCAGAGGAGTGACTTCTGATAAAAGAAAAATACTGCTCTACCTACACTCAAGTAAGATCAATATTTTTCAATATGCCTTTGTAACTTAATGAAAAAATACCTCTTTATCCACATTTTAATAAGCAAGTAATTTTCTTCAATATTAAGCTTTATGAAGCCTCCCTATCTCTTCTAGAACAATATGAAACAAAAAAAATCTCCTGGTGTGGGGAGGGTAGCAATGTTTCAAATGCATGCCAATGTTTATTATTTAGACTGTATTTAGATATATCTTTCCACCATATTTATTTAAACAACTGTATTAAATTTTTTGTACTTTAGTGAGCATCACTCAGAGGAATGAAAATTAATCAATTTTCAAAAGCTGACTTTATGATAAGGGTTCCATGAGTGAGTGCTGAACTACTGGAGAAAGGGTAGATAGGTAATAATGGAAAGGGGGGCCTTGGCAAAGTGTTTCTTTTTTTAAAAAAAAATACGTTTTTATTGATTTCAGAGAGGAAGAGAGAGGGAGAGAGGGAAACATCAATGATGAGAGAGAATCATTGATTGGCTGCTTCCTGTATGCTCCCTACTGGGGATCCCGGGACCCTTTAGTCCGTAGGCCGAGGCTCTATCCTCTGAGCCAAACCAGCTAGGGTGGCAAAGTGTTTCTTAAAATGCCTTACAACAGTAGAGCCTAGGGGACTATCACATCCTCTTTTGTTTATTCAGAACAAAGGATGAAAGTGTGAAATTATAAAAGAAATTCAATATTACTGCAGAAAATGAGCATGAGTCAGTATAGTCAAATCAGTTAGAAGATGAACACCGTCTGTGACATCGGTGCTAAGATGAGTGTGCCTTTTGGAAGGATTCAAACTGTATTTGCTCTACAGACCAGAACCTGGCTGCCAACGTTTTGGCTTAAAATCACTATATCTACTTTTCTAATAAATTGTTGCAGTATTTCTCAGTTTTTATTTTCTGGCAGAACAGAGATTTCCAAAGTGGTTTTAGTGAGAATCATAAAACTCATTACCATCTATTATGTTTAAATGAATGCTAACACGTAAAAGTGTATTATGTACCTATTGTTTTTATTAAATCAGATTTCAATGTAATACAAAATGAATAGAATTCTTCAGAATGTTTATCTGTGTGTTGTAAAAATCATAGAATTGTAAGGCTCGATGCGTCCTTGCAGAAAGTTTGTGATTGGATTTCCTTGACTGGATTCTCAAAGATGATGGCAAAGATGATGACACTTAAGATCACAAACACTTAGGTCGACATTTGTTCTTATTACTAGATATTATTAGGCTATGGAAGCCATATGGTGTTATATGTGTCATAATCACACCCAGATAGTGATGGGTTGCTAATAAATTTATTGTTCTTTCCTCAACAAATTGTGATCCCTACCCACCTGAATCCAGGTACATTTTCCCTCATCATTAAATTAAACACTGTTTTCTCATTATTTGCATAAACAGAAAATTCTAATGCATAATTTCCTAGGAAGCAGCAGGAAATCATTCTAGTACACCAAAAAATACTGGGTTATAGCCAATGTTTTAGAATAATTTTTCATAACGAGGCCTTTATATAGCTATAGCTTTTCTTCCATTAAAATGCAATAGAGAAGCTTGATAGATAATAGAGAGAGGAAAATAACCTATTTTTAAGATTGAAACAGGGGTGAGTGCTCTAGAATGCCCTATTCTCTCTACCATTGCCTTTCCTTGCGTCTGCGTCTATTCCTCATTCCCCCAACCATTCGAATTTGATGGATATTTCTGTTTCCTGAAACCCTGTGGTTCCTTGGTTTCTCAGCCTTTCATTTTGAAGCTCATAAGAAGGAATTAACTAAACAGAGACAGAGAGCAAGCTATGTAGGTGGAAACTACCCAGATTATGCTGTGCTAGCCATAAGTGGCAACGTTATTGCTCTGCAAGAGATGGCCATTTAATACCTACTTAGACTTTCCCAGTATCACATGCTATTCTATTTGCTCTCCCTTCATCATTGTGCTAAGTATCCTATACTGTAAACCCTGAAAGAGTTCCAAGAAAGGTGACATATAAATGAAGAAAGAGAGAAATACATTTGTAAGGAGAGTAATGACAATTCATCTGAGAGTGCCTGTTGTCATCCTCAAAGTCCCTTCTCCTACAATCACAAAGAATAAATATTTTTTTATTGAAATATATCTGGATGCATTTCAAACAAATGATACGGGTATATATCATTTCCTCCCCCCCCCCTTTTTTTTAAAGAATTCACAATACTTTATGGAGAAGCAAGAAATTTGAATTGATACTCTTTTGAGAGAAGATGAAGAGGAGGGACAGTAAAGAGTCTTAAAACACATAGCCTACTATTTTCTGATTCTTTGAAATAAGAAATATTTTGAAACTATATGCCTTAGCGTGCACTGTTAGTGGGTTTTTATAGTCTCTTCCCTGATCTGTAGAATTTTACTTATGCCTCCCCCATGGTTTATTCATGATCACATTTGACTACATTTAAAGCTAGGTTGGCTTCATATTTTAATGGAAAATTTCCCATGAGCAAGAGCAAACTGGGTCCATTGTGTGAGCAGATGTCCTAGCTGGATTGCTTGCCACTGCTTTGTGGTTGCTGACCTCCATGCTTGGCTAGAGGACAGCTCTGTCTTCCTGGACATCTTTTTATTGCCAGAACAAAATCACTGTAATATAAATACTTGATAATTGAACAGGTAAATTTAATGCTGTTGCTGCTTTTCTGTGCTTTGAGGATGTTTGAGGCATCTGACCTTGCACTTCGATGAGTCTTTTCATGGTCTGTCCCCTCTTTGTGTTTACACGTTGCACCTATCCACAGGATGCAGCTTCTGTTGGCCCGTTTGCCTTCAAAATTGTTCATCAAATTCTCAGTATTTTCAGGCATGTTTGAGATGGCAGAGCCACTGGCTGCATTGGTAAAACAGTGTGTCAAGAGTGTGGAGTAGATAAAAACTGTGCTTGCCTCCTCCCCAGATCATAGACATCAAAGTTACAGCTAAACTACACAATAACCATCATTGGGAACTGCCTGCAATCTTACTGAACAGACTACTATAACTAAGGATGTATAAGAGAAGCCATGTCGAGACTGTTAGGAGGGATGCAGACATGGAACAAGCTGGTCCCACACCAAAAATTAAAAATTCTGAGGGATATCTTGGCTGCAGAGGCCCCTCTGAGGGGACAGGGGAGTTCGCCCCACACCATTCCCCTGCCTCAGGGTTTCAATGCTGGAAAGAGAAGTCAGCATAACGTTTGGCTGTGAAAACCAGTGGGGATTTTGGCTGTGTGAGATAAAGGGCTGCTGGACACCCAGGCAGTTCCTCTTAAAGGGACCACAGACAGACCTACTTGCTGATAGACTAGCTTGCTCTGGAGCAGCAGCCCAAAAAGCACACAGGAACATACAGAAGGGGAACTGAATTGTAGGACTTCAGGGTGAGGGCTAGGGGGAGGTAACTTTCTCCGAGACAGAATTGCAGGCAGAAGTAATTGTTCCTTTGTTGAGTTCTCGTCTCCCGCCACCCCCCGCCCCCCGCCCCCAGCCTGAAGGAGCAGGCAGGTACCATATCTGAATCTCCATGGACTTAGCTAACACTGTTCACCCTGCCTCACCCAATTTCTGAGCCCAATCCATGATGCTTCCAGTGGTTTTCCCATACAAACATCACATCTTGGTTTGTGCTGCAGACTTTTCTAAAATCTCTCAAAGTTTCACAAACCCCCCATAAGGAGGGTATGTCTCAGTGTGCTTGATACATTTTTTCTAAGTAGCCCCAAGCCTACGACCAGTGGCAGCCAGCCACAGTTTGCAGTTTGGCCCAGCACAAGTGGCAACTATCTGTAGGTCACTTTGTAGCTCATACCAGGATGGGCCCAAGTAATGGCTGATCTTGGTCCACCTTGAGACCCTCTCAAAAGGCTCAAGAATCAACATACCCAGTGGCCGGCTTCTGACCCTGCTAGATACTCTCCCATCAGTTCCACATATAACACACCCAAAGAGCAGATTCAGCAGGCCCAAGAGCCACGCTTCAGTGAATCTTGTTCAGTAGAATCAGACCTTACACAACAGCTTCTCTATTGTAGTCATGGCCAGTCCTTCTAGCCAATCAGCATGGGAGTCGTTCCCTCCCACTGGAATACCACCAGAACTCAAGGCTCAACTACAACAGGAGGGTATACACAGCCCACATGGGAGAGTGTACCTGGAGTGTCTGCCTCTGGTGAACAGAGAGGCTGTGCTACTGGACCCTATAGGATATCTACAAGCTTAGGCAACTCTACCAAACCCCAGAGCTGTAGGAGCTCTATCTAGTACATTGAAACATACAGGGAGGTTGCCAAACTGAAGAGACAGAAAAACATATCTCAAATAAAAGAACAGAACAATACATCAGAAAAAGACTAAATGAAATGGAGACAAGCATTCTATCAAATGCAGATTTCAAAACACTGGTTGTAAGGATGGTCAATTAACTTAGGGGAAGAATTGTTGGTCTCAGTGAGAACTACAATCGAGAGATGGGAAACATAAAAGTGGAGATAAAAAACATAAAAAAGAACTAGTCAGAAATAAAGAATAGAATAACTAAAATGAAAACTACATTAAAGACTAGATGAAGCAGAGGAACAAATCAGCATTTTGGAAGATAAAGTAGCAGAAAACCTCCAATTAGACCAGCAAAAAGGAAAAAATAATCCAAAAATGAAGATAATTTAAAGAACTTCTGGGACTTCAAGCATACTAACATTTACATTATAGGGGTACCAGACGGAGGAGAGAAAGAGCAAGGAATTGAAACCCTATTTGAAGAAATAATGCCAAAAATTTCCCAAACCTGGTGAAGGAAGTAGACATACAAGTTCAGGAAACACAGAGTTCCAAACAAGATTAACTCAAAGAGCCTCACACCAAGACACATCATAATTTAAATGTCAGAGTTAAAGGCAAAGAGAGAATCCTAAAAGCAGCAACAGAAAAGCAGTTAGTTACCTACAAGGGAACTTCCATAAGGCTG